ANAAAGAGAGAGAGAGAGAAGAAGAAGAAGAAGAAAGAAAAAAGAAAGAAAGAAAAAAAGAAGTCACGTTTACAAGTTGACCACAAGTGATTACGAAATTAAAAGTGGACAACAGGCTGGGATAAAGTTTGAAAGATCGTTGTGATTCGCGGAATTGTGACACGATGAAATTCATAGGATCGTTGTTGGGGATCAGCTCGCCCAAAAAGATGGGCAAGGAGTACATGAAGGTGGGGAGGAACGCCCTGTTCGGTGTAAGGACGAGTCAACACGACGGCCTCTGCACGGACAAGGTCCCCAGACCTTTGTCCTTCCTCGTTTCTAAGAATGGAAAACTGAAACACGGTAAGCCGGTATTATTTCATACGATTTACGTTGATTTAAGTTGCACGTGCCGTTGTGACGAAATAATGAGATTAACGCGAGCTAAGCGGTGTGTGCTCTACCGCGAAAGTAATTAATTAGAATTTCAATTCCGCGAGATAAAAAAAACGCTCAGGTAGTTTTTGTTGAAATTAATTAAAGAGAATAATTGGAGATCGGTATTCTCGATTAATAACAACAAGGAATAAATTTAATTAATAACGATTTAAACGATATTGAAGTTTTCAAGTTTCGTTATTTGCGAACTATATAATAAAAATGATATCCGAGGAATTGCAATATTTAATAAATAATGGAACGAATATCAAAGATTGCTGCGTATTTCATAATCGTTTCGAATCACTTGAAATTTGAATATTTATCCGCCTAATGTTTAATCTTGACGGGGGATTTTTTTTTTCTTTTTTTTCTACGTTTCCAAAATCGTACATAGGATCGAAAAATTTTCTGTAAAGTGAACCGTGAAAAATTGCATTCGTACTTCGAAAGATGCGTAAGAAAATAGAGAGTTTTCCCCTGCTTCCACCTTGAATCAGGAAGAAATTCTTCACTTCAGAGAAACTTGAATTATCATAAGAGGTTTTCGTTTTCTCCATTCCGTCAGGAATGCGTTCACTACCTGATTTCAACTCAATTTCGATCCAGCCAACGATTCGGCTGCATAACAACTGTTTCAATGAACTTGAAAAAAAAAAAAAAAGAAAAAAAAAAGAAAAAGAACTACCATTTCACTCTATAATAAAAACAATTTCTAATCCTCATACCGGATTTCGAACGATCGTGCATTAGATTGCACGAACTTGAAAATTAACATTTTATATAACCTAATCTAAAAAAGAATTCCTACACGTTAAAAATCACGATATCCCTCGCGATATCCCTCGAGTCGCGATTAACAAACGCGGTTAATTCAATAAGACCCTCCGCGTTGGAAAAAGAACATTAAGAGACGTGCATCGATGCGTGCGCGCAAAAAGAAAAAAAAAAAAAAAGAAAAAAAAAAAAAAAAGAAAAAAAATCGATATAAAACAATCTCTTCAAGTTCAGTTGAATTTTTCTAATTTTTCATACATTCCATACGATCGGTCACGGCTATCGCGGCGAGTTTCTCCCGTTTCGATTGAAAAGTTCGAGGTGAGCGGCACCGGCCGAATAGTACGACCGTTGCAACCAACGCTCGTAGACCTGTTACCTGCAAAGTGTGTTGACGATGATCAAACATAATCAGAATGATACGCGATAGTGGGGCAGGCAGCCAATTCCTTTCGTCGATCTGCGCGTTATTTGGCCTACTTGCACCCGTTATTCGATATTTCTCTCTCTCTCTCTCTCTCTCTCTCAACACAATATTTTCCTCTCCCTCTCGAGAAACGGAAGAAAAAGGAACGCCACCCCCCTTTTTTCCTGCAATTATCTGGAATGCGAATCTTGATCTCGAACCTCTTACGAGATTCGAACCCCGCTTTCAAACTGGTGTAACGTTTCCTAGAAGATGCGGGCCTTTCATCGAGATCGTGTTCCTGTTTTACCACTCCGGCAACGTGAAAGGAGTCCTCTTGTTGCAAGTTGTTTCTCGCCTCATTCTGACCTTTACGGTTTGAAGTTGAATATAAGATCTTGATCTTGATGTTGATGGTCCTTGATTTCGAGGATAAGTTTTGAAAAGATGATAAAGTATCGATACACGATTTCTTTCTTTGGATATTTGGAAATTTTTTTTATTTTTTTTTTTTTTTTTTTTTTTTTTATAGATCAAACTTTTCGTATCTGGGAGGATATTCGATTCCTGTTATTCGATCTCGCTTATTTTTCTTCATTTTTTTCTTTCTTTCTTTCTTTCTTTTTCAAAGACGAGATCATCGATTTGAGCAATTTAAGCGTACGTATATTGTAACATTCTTCTTTTATTTTTTTCCTTTTATTAAAAATTAAAACTTTTTAATCTTATTATTGGAGATCATTCCAATTTAGATCGAATCCACCCGTAAAACTTGTACTTCCTTCAATGATCTTGACTTACTGGTCAGGCGAAGTTTATTCGAAAGTATCAAGGTAAATCATTTGAGGAGAAACGATTCCGTGTTCCTTTAAGAAAGTAGTTTAACCGCGTTAAATCCTCGCTTAATTTGGATCAATCGTTCCTTAATGCTTTTTTTTTTCCTTCTTCTTCTTTTTTAAATCTTAGGAAAAAGAAACGTTCACGCTCCTTTCCATTCGTTAGTTGTGAAACTAAAAATTGAACACACTTGTAAAATTGGAATGTGAAACACGAATATGCATGTGATTAAAAACTTTAATCGATTATAACTCGTGTAAGAATGTTATTAAATTAAGCAACTTGCAAAATACTTTATACAAAATTATATCCCGCATTGTTTAACTCATACATTTTTTTGCTTTAATAAATTTATCCACCGCGATTCGATCTGTTATCTATATGCTTCCTATATACTTATTATACTTTTAATTATTTAATACTTGTTAATAACCAAATGGGTTAAACAACATAGTTCACATTCGTTGAACAATTCTGTAATGTTGCTTGAAAATGCTGCTTCGATAATTAAATTCTCTCAAAGGTGGATGTATCCGAATAAGTCGGCCATCGATACGGTCTGTATCTTTCTCGATTTATAAAAAATAGAATTAATTAAAATTATATTATACAAGCCTCTCTTTATTAACAGAAATCACATTGTTAATTACAAAATTTTAAGAATCGCTTCCTTTTTGTTACTTAAACTTTCGACAATTAAAAATTAGTACTACTAAGTATAAATATTTCGAATCAATTTATAACATAATTTTTTAACGAATCACAAATTACGAACCGATACGCTCATCTCATCTAAAAAAAAAGAAAAAAACAACAACACGTTCATGTTTCGCACAAACGTATGCAAATAACGAAAATCTCGTAACCAGTGACCGATCACGCGAAGAATATTCCTCGACGCCGCTATGGCAAGACTGCTATCGTATCGAAACGTATCTATGAATCGTGGTTAATTATTTTTCTTTTTTCCCCTACTGAAAAAATGCAGTGACATAGAGCAACCGGCTCGCTTTCTCATTCTCTTAAAATTAAGATCCAGAATGTGGAATGCAGTTAGGATTACAAAATCGCCCAAATATTTTTATATTTTCGAGCGGATTGCAAAATGGTGGACAACGCGGGGTCCAACGGTGCGTTTAATAAAGGCACGAGTCGGAGCGGGGGGAGATGTAAAGCAAGAGGTGCTCGTACGCTCGCCGATTTTGAGATCACTTTCACTCTCGTGTGTTCAGAGAAACTTTGGAAAAGGAAGGGGTCCAGTGTAACGAACAGATATTTTTAGTCCCCGGCGTAGAGATCCCTGCCCCGTCTTCGATATTACGTGTTTCAATGGCCATTAAGTAACTCGTGTAACCTGATGAGATAACACAGAGTCGATGGCCATTTGCACAGCCAGCAGGCCTGTTAAAAAATTGCTATGCCTGTGCACAGGATTGACGACGAAACTGGTCGAATGTTACTAAAGTAACTAAATTACAAAATTTAATTTCTAATTTTATCGTTTTAATTATTATTCGTATATATATATATATATACGAATGGCCAAATCGGTAAATTTATATTTCGTTGATATATGAAAGTGGTTAATTGTATCCTGATAGTATTCTTTTTTTTTTTATTTCAAGTTTGTTGATCGCACTTATATTCACTTTCTCAATTCAGCCGATTCGAAGCAAAACTTTTTATTTTCGATTCGATAAGAACGTTAACATAACGTTTCCTTTTCCTGCGAGATCGTTAACATTTTCACTTCCTTCCACGGATGTGAAAATAACTTTTCACTTCTCTCACTTCACGTTGTTCCTCTATCCATCCTTGCGCCTGTTTTCTTCCATTCGATTTTTGAAATAAAGATCGTATCGTTTCGATCGATCGTCGAAAGGAACGTAACGTAAAACGATTATATCGGCGAAATAAGATTGAGATTACCACGTTTACCACGTTTATTTCTATTCAAACACTTAATGCCAGTTCCAACATTTTAAAATTCAACGCGTTAAATCCATCTTCTATTATGGTTAAGATATTTCGCAAGAGAATGTCGTTTAGATTTACAGCGGAGGAAATGTAAAACGATTTAGAATGGATTTAGTGTGCATAATAAAAGAAATACGAGTGAATTTACTATGGAAGAATTCGTTACTTGAACTCGTTATTCCTACACTTTCTACGCTTGTTAGTTTCTCAATTCTTTTTTTTTTTGCGGTAAATCACTTAATTCTTATAAATAAGAATAGTAAGTGAATATAGAAGAAGAAGTTAAGTGTGCTTCGCCGCTGAGTCATACGAAAATTTCTCCGCTAATTAATTAATTAATTAATAATTAATTTGAGCATATACATTATATTTGGAGTATCGGATTAATTTCTCGTATAAAATCGAGTCGAATGTCCGTTGCAAGATTTCCCCTTAATCTTATATACGAAACGAAACAAAATTAAATAAAACAAAAAAAAAAAAAAACAATTTTTCCAAAATTTCTCCATCCAAGAAACATGCACATTGTAATAATTTCCGCGTGACTAATTTTACGATCGTGTTCCCCTTCAAAGCTATACTTGGTGCGTAACTGTACTTGTACTTACAATGATGAACAGGAAGTGACACACAGTCATATATATCGAGGATATTCCCCATTAAATTTATTTTTATGGAAATATCCTAATATCAAATATCAAAGTTGACAACAAAATGTCAAAGTATTATTAATGTATGATTACCCTGTTGATCCTCCGTATCCTTCTGTAAATTTCCGTTTTATATCCCCGTTTCATTCACGATATTTACCTGGTAAATTAAAATTAATAATAACAAATAAAATAGTTGACGTCATTAAAGGTCGAAATACCTGTAATTTCCTTGAATTGATTAGATAAAAAATTAATTGAGGAGAATAATATCGTGTCATTATTTTGCTCCGTTTTACGTGAATTAGAGAAGAAAAAAAAAAAAAATAAACGTAGCATCAGCTATAATTATTTCGATCTCTGAACCCCATAAATTATAAATCATTCATACGTAAAATACGTTTATTTTTTGCAACGTGTGACGATTTATGACGGCAATAATTGTTACAAAATGGCAAAAACTGGATATATTCGTTAATAAACTTTTCTATATTTATTCCTTTATTTCATCAATTCTTGGCAATATTATGGGAATAAAAGAGAGGCGAATTATCATTAAAGTTTACGATCAATAGTCTTGCATTGGCAAGTCATTCTGAATAGTAAATTGAACGTCTTTAACTTTTAGTAACAAAGCGTTAACTGGTGATCTCTTTTATTGAATGGGACGTGCAACACGTAAAATAGACATAAAAGGCTCGAGCGAGAAAACAGTCAAGTTTTCTTTTATCGATATTTCATATCGAGAAGATAATCGAGAGCAATCGATTTTTCTTTTGATACGCGTATCAACGTTTGAATCGAAAAATTGAAACAGTTTATAATATATATCAAGGATAAGGAAAAGTAAATTGAAATTCTTTGTTTCAAAGAACGATTGTTCCATATTCGTTGACTTGAAAAAAAGAAATTAAAAAAAAAAAAAAAAAAAAATAGGCACCCGTATGTCCATTAGCCATTTTGCCAATTACGCTAACCAATTACGTTCTAAAATCCTTTCACACAGTTTCCTAATAATTAATTGTCGCAACATTCAACGTAAAATAAACTCGAGACCTTCGTCTTTGCACGATATATCCTACGGTTAAACCTTTTTTCTTTTTCTTTTTTTTTTTTTTTTTTTTTCGTTCTTTCGAAACCTTGCGCAACCTAGAAAAGTGGTTCTAGCTCTACCGGAAGACGATTGAGATCAAGATAATAATAATAATAAAGAGTGAAAACATTCATTATCAAAATTAATTAGAAAAATTTTTACGCATCTTTTGTACACTTTATTTTACACAGATTTCACTTAGCGCCGTTCATTTTTTATTGAGCGTGATAATTCGCAATAACGCGAATTACTTTACGAATTACTTTAATTAAGTTAATCTCATATAATGACGCTAATTAGAATAATTAATTTCAAAAAGAAAAAAAAAATTGTTATTTTAATCATCACGAGAATAGTTAAATCGAATCGTAGAGAAGCATGAATGAATGACCGTAAATTTCATTCCTGAGAGATCGTTGCACTTAAAATGTAGCAGCAAGAAATGTAGCTGTTAAAATAGTTTCCGTTCCCCACGATCCCCACAAGAAAGCACGTAATTTTTCCACGGGACCATGATTATATTCGACTTAAGGATCGTCTTCAAGTCATTCTGTGATTAAGTTTCTAAAAAGAAGAAGAAAAAAAAAAACTATTCTCAAAAAAAAAAAAAAACGTTAACTCAACTATGATAATTATGACCATCTTTGCAAAAAATATATACGATCAATAAATTCGACGAGATCAGAAAATTTCTTTCGCAAACGAGTGATTCGACAACGCAAGGATATGTATATGTAAAATTAAAAAAAAAAAAAAAAAGAAGAAAGATTGGAAAAAAAAAAGATAAGAAATATATTAAAAAAAAAAAAAAAAAAATAAAGAAGATTAACATAATAAACGACTAGTTTGATCACGAACAAAGAGCGGAGAAGAAGGTCACAGCTCGATCAATAGATTTAAAATCAAATCTTCGTTCGACAAATATTACGCACGATTCGAACAACCGATTAAGCAAGATGGATGGAGGCAGACGTGGACAAGAAACACGTCTGCCTCGAGGTGCTCACAACCGTTCAATGGATTTTCATTTTCCATCTTTTCGAGGACACGTGAAGAAAGCGAACTTTAACGGAGGCGATCGACAACGGAGTTCTCGAGAAAGGAGAGATCGTAAAATTATGCAATGACTTTGGTAATTTATACTGCTCATGGTTAACGAACGTTTCACGAACCTCCTCAACAGCCAGGTTACTTTGCATTCTCTATCAACAGTGAGCAAGAGGATCAATTTACACCTGCTGTGCCTCTTCGATCGTCAAACGTTTTGAGCTCGTTTATTAAAACGTGTCTTTTTCTTTTTTTTTTTTTTAACATGGAATTTATTCATCCGCGTTGAATATTTCCAAACGAATTAACCCGTTGGATTAAAAAATTTTCAAACGAACATTCGAACATTGTCACATCTCGATGGTGTACTAATCTATGATGCTTCTGATCATCATAATTCGAATGATTATGAAACAACATTGTATTATTAAATAAAGGATGAGATAGATTGAAAGAACGAAGCGAAAAAAATCGCAAAAAATGTATCACGTGATTGACCAGTTTTTATGGAATTCTGTTACCCTCTGTCGTCCTTGAGAGTGAAATTTTTCGAAGCCAGCATCCCAAGACGAAATCACGTAATCTCGAACCGTGTTTCGTGACTGTAGAAACGTCGCAGACACTTCTATATTTAGAACTAACGTCTAAAAATGTAAAATGTAATTTTTAATTATTCATAGAGATTTAACTGCATATTAAAAATGTATCTTACATATAAATGAATTTCAATTATCTCTGGATAATCATTAAAATAATATTGGATGGATGCTTTCTTATTTTGTTGTATAATATAATTTTTATTAATTATTTATTAACGACGTGTAGCGATTCAGAGGATTCAATGTCAAGAGCAATTATTTATTTACGAATCAATCAATTCAAATCCATTTTATTTTTTAAAATTATAAACGAGCACAGTAGGCCGAGAAAATATTGAAAGAAATTGATTACAAGCTTTTACTATCCTACTTTTCTAATGATGCACATCAATTTTAAACCACCAGAGGGAAATATTTTGTTTCCTAGCTCTCGTTTAACCTTTCACCTTAACCAGAAATATTACAGCTTTCCCCTTAGATAACCCAAGGTTCAACCGTGAAGCATTATTCGATATTTTATTATAAATCAGTTATTTATATAATCTTCCTATTAGAAATCAGGATGTTGTAGAGAGAGAGAGAGCTTCCGCTCCACAAATATTTATTTATATATTTAATTGTTGAAACGAAAATAAGAGAAATTTATATTTATACCGAGTAATGAACTTTGAATTATACAATTTTGTTTTGATCATCAATAATTATCAAATATTATATAAATGAGATTAATTTTATTTAATTAAATAAAAAAAAAAAAAGAAGACTACGAACGAATATATATAGGTCAAGATGAATCAAATATCAAATGGTAGGATTTTCTCAAGGCTAAAAGAATTAACCATGAATTTTAATATATATATATATGATATATTTAGAGTGGTATATTTAATGGTGGGAAAAGGTGAAGGGTAATGCGTTTCGTGAAAAACGTGACTAAAAATTTCTAAAAAGTAAGATATGAATAATCTTAAATCCCGTCATCAAGGTTTTTAAGTGCAATACACGATGATCGTTTCGAAGAACTTTCGAGAAGATATGAGGCAAGCCCTTTTTTTTTCGATTTTAGTAATTTCATAATAATTGGCCAAGAATTGCCACTATAAAGTGTTGAAAATATGAAAGCAACAATTTTACAATCATTTTTACAATAATACCATACTACTATTAAATATCAGAAATTGGCTTGATATTTGGAATAAGATGATTTTATATTTGGAATAAGAAAAAAAATAAATGAATAAAAAAGCAAGAAATCGGTAGCACGAAATAACAATCAATCATTGAAAATACGCAATTTTTAATTGCAGCTGTAAAATTTACGAAATTATTACTCATAAAAAACGCGTTTTACTTTTTTTTTTTTTTTTTTCGTAACAATTTGTTCGCGATTTCAACATCGTTTCGACGTTGTTAACGATATTTTAATGCTTTATTAGGCGTAATCGTAAGCCTTATAAAAACCACGAGGGAACGAAATAATTATCAATAGATCTGTGCATTGAAGATGAGATAAGTGACATAATGTAACTTGTGAAAACTTGACATCTTCCTTTCATTTCTTCGAATACATAATTCATGTCTAAACATGTCAAAATATTGACTACTTTGTTCAAGAAAAAAAAATATATATATATATATAAAATACTTGGTAATGTATTATTAAATAATAATTATTTAATTTTCTTCATCTGAAATATTATGACATAAAACTTTCAATGTATATTAATCAAATACGATTATCTCACATAGTACATAACGTTGATGGGATACTTATGATGATTCAGAGAACGTTATGTCATTGAAATTCCTTGGAAATTGGCCTTATTCTTTTCAATAATAGTCGAATAATTTTGGCTGGAAAATGATATATACGAATGGAAAAATAAAATCCCATGTTTGGATTGGAATAATAAATATAATAACAAAGATTATCGATTATCATTTATCGTATCTATGGTTTATAGGTAGAGTGTCAGCAATTTTCATAGGAATTCTGACGCTCGTGATCGGCATTATTTTAAGCAGTATACCTTGGGTGGATTACATTATATTGAAGGTATGTAAAATTTATTTAAATTAATTTTTGTAAAATTAGAATTATTCTTATCATTTTGATTCCAAATAATAGTTAACCGAATAGGAATTATCTCTAAAATTTAAATTATCATAAATCAAATTATGATTTATATTATAATATTTATATGTAAATCAATTCTGCATATTAACAAGAGAATATATTTATTATATAAAACTGGCAACTATTTATCAAACTTAATTATATTCCATCGACTAACTGATGGATGGAATTAACAATACACAAGCATTTTTAGCTTATTCAATTAAATGCATGGTTTAATATTCATTAATATTTATATTGATAATAAACCGGGATTATTATTAATATGTTTTATTCATGTAACGATAATGTCAGGACTTAGAATCTAAATCATTCAACATATTCTTCAATAATATTAAATTTCAAGTTTATTTCAAATAAAATTATTTAATAATATTGTATAATAAGCAATATTTTTTGATATTGCGATATTTTTTTGAAAACGACTTTTCAATTTTTTTTTTTTTCTTTTTTTCTTTCCTGATTTGATAGTACAGCTCAATGTATAAAATCACACTAATTCTTCATCATTAATTCTTTTTTTACAATACAGTGAGCAACAATATCATTATATAAGCATCATTGATAAATAAAATAAACTTGATCAATCGTCGAAACGATGACCATCTTCCTCGAATTAATTTCTCTAATCTCTAATAATATAATTGAAGCGAATATATTAATTAATTAATTAATTTAAAAAATCGAAAACTATCTTCACTTATTTTCCGTCTTGCACTTTGTTATCCTACATCAATGTTCGATCATGAACGATAAATTTTAAAACCAAGATTATTTTTCTTTTCTTTTTCGCTTAACCATCAAAATTTACTTTCATTTTTATCACTTCCTACAAATGGCTAACAATTATATGGAGGCACGTGTTTCAAATTATTAAACATTCTTTTTATTCAATCGTTTTACGTAGCTTGCAATAAGTTTATATTCAAAATAACAAAATGCAATTTTTAATTTTTCTTATATAATATTTTTCTCCTCAGCAACTTCGATTGTGGAATGGGTCTCTTTCTTTTCAATACTGGCAGAAACCAGGAGTAGTTAGATTGACCAAAGTTTACATATTTAATGTGACCAACGTAGAAAACTTCTTGCAATACAACGAAAAGCCAAAATTACAAGAAATCGGTCCGTTCGTGTATAAGTGAGTATCCAATATTGGACCAATATAAATTATTACATATTTTTAATTAACACGTAATACGCGTAACAGAGAGGATATGGAAAAAGTGAATATCGTTTTCCATAACAATGGTACCGTAAGTTATCAACACAAGAAAATATTAAACTTTGTACCAGAGATGTCAAAGGATAAAGATCTCAAAGTAATAGTACCAAACATTCCTTTATTGGTAAGTATTTTCCAAAAATATTCTCCATCGTTAGATTCACGAAAAAGATCGTGGATTGCGCGAAATTTGCGTTGAAATTTGTCAACCTTTCTTACATTCTTTCCAGACACTGTCGACACAAAGCAAGAGTCTACCTCGATTTATCACTTTAGGATTATCTATGTTTTTGAGCGGGATGCACATGAAATCGTTCGTTCCAGTAACTGCTCAAGAACTCGTTTTTGGATACGACGATCCATTAGTTAGCATCGCGCATCGATTCTTTCCGAAAACGAGACGTCCCATGAGTCAAATGGGACTTCTTCTTGGGGTAATACACGGGGGAAAAACAAATAAATAAATAAATAGATAAAAATTATTGTAACTCGTGGAGAAATTTATAAAAACAATCAAAGGATTTTAACATCATCATTTTTATAATAAGTGGATATACGTTTTGATTATTTGAGTGAATTTTAATTGCAGAGGAATGGCACGTTGGAAGAGGTGTCCACTATTTTCACGGGACACACGGACATGAGGGAGTTTGGATTAATAAATCGTTTAAACGGGATGGATCGTCTACCATATTGGTCAAACGCGCCTTGCAATTCTATTCGCGCTTCAGAGGGTTGATACAATTGGATATTAAATATTTCTTTACATTTTCAAAGAAAGATCTATTATTACCATATCTCTATCTCGTAGGATCGTTTTTTCCACCCCGTGACAAAACTGGCGCCGATATCGTGCACATTTGGGACAAAGATCTTTGTCGAACCCTGCCTTTAAAATATCACGGCTCAACTGAGAAATCAGGGATCAAGGCGGATTTATATATACCACCTGACGCCGTGTTTGGACGTCCCAACGAAAGTGCTCCAGAAAACGAATGTTTTTGTCCGGATGACATGTCCACCTGTCCTTCGAACGGATTGCAAAATATCAGTCCTTGCCAGTATAGTGAGTACAATACCCTCCTAAATTTATTCGATTTACTTTTTAACAATTCTACGTAAAAAAAAAAAAAAAAAAAAGAAAATTACTTTTAAAAATTATTCGTCCAATTCCAGGCGCACCGGTTTATCTTTCCTTCCCACACTTCTACAAAGCGGATCCTAATTTATTAGATGCGGTTCAAGGGTTAAATCCAAACCGAGAAATGCACGAGACTTATTTTAAAATTCAACCGGTAAGCGATTTGAAATAGATAAAAATGGATTGTTGTTGGGAATCATTTGCGACTCGTTTTGCATTACAGAAAATTGGCGTGCCTTTGGAGGGGAAGGTTCGGGTACAATTGAACTTAAAGATCGAGCATCAGCCGTTGATCAGCGTTGTGTCGAATTTTCCCGACATAGTGTTTCCTATCATGTGGCTGGAAGAGGGTATCGAAGAGTTGACACCCTCTATCCGTAGATGGGTTTATCTTGCAACAACATTTGGCGATGTTGCTGCGCCTTGTACCTCGTATGGATTAATTCTAGTCGGTTTAGTAATCATATTCGTCGTGTTCATGAAGGCTTACAACAACGTGGTGCTCACGCACGAAGCGATCGAATTAGGCAAACGAACCATAAGAAGAGGTTCCACGTTGTTAATGAATGGACAGCACAAATTATTAATGACTCGAGAACAGTATGTTTTGCTCACAGACAAGGAGGATAATGACGAGAAATCAGGGATAATAGAGATCTAGTTAGTTAGTAGCATAAATTTTCTTCTTCTTCTTCTTCTTCTTCTTTTTTTTTTCTTTTTTTCCTTTTAAATAGATGTATATTACAAAGTGTAATCTAAGAATCGTCTTGTAATGTAGGATTTGTAATCGTTTGATACTATAGACCAAAGTTTTTTTTCAATTACCTGAAGAAAACATCGATATATATATATATATATATATATATATATCGATT